CTGCTGTGTACATGCCATGTACACTACTTTCTAATAATCCCACAATGCAATGCTCCACGGTTTATCAAATGGACAATTATTGTCGCGTGGTCCTACAGCTGTTAGTGATGACGCAAAATGCCAACGTGTAGTGAGTGTCCGAAGTTTCAATTGACTGTTCACTGAGCTAACTGTTGGTGTACATCATATAGGAGGTGATTTTGGACATAACCTGTGTCATAAATGTTCGTCCGGACTTTTCAATTATTCATCCTAGAATTAGTAGAGCTTTTCCAAGTAAGGGCAGCGACACATCAAGCTCCCAAAAGTCTTTTGTTGTATTCTCTGTTGTAACGCTCTGTCCATGTGTGGTCCCATATAATGTGGAAAGTGCTTATGTGCACTTTTCATAGAAGTAAATGAGCCCATTTCTGCATATGTCCACTGCCATGTCTTCTGATGCAACTGATATTTCACAGTCATCAGCTTTGATGATGACATGGTCATTGAACAAATATGAATAATAATGTCCCTTCGTTGCATCAGGGCCTAAGTGACAAATGACAGAGGACAGTCTGTATCTTTGTGTTTTGTTTTCCTCCACTGGAATGTCTATAAATTTGGACGGACTCACAGGCTCCTTGATTACCGACCCATTGCAGCATGTTCGATTCAGATACAAGGTTAAAATGTCAGGGCAGACCCAAACTGGGTTTCTGTCTGCTATGGAAGCACATGCATGGCATTGTCCTGTGTTTTCTCTTTGGTTGATAGCATGTGTGAAGAGAGAGGAAATGGTGTCATTTTCAAATGATGGTGGTAAAAGATAAACATCCTCTATATTTAAAAGGCTAGGTTCAGTTTGTCCACATTGTTTGCACCTGCTTGCTTCATTCACCTGGAAAGTCGTTTGTACTCCACAATGCTTGAGCCAGGACAGGAAAGGTATTACCAAATCCAATGAGCAGTTGTGCTGTGCCAGATCCAGTGACGGTACTCTATTGTTCAGGTCTGTCAAAACGTTATAGATTTCTCCTGAAGTGAAAGTCCTCCCTGGGTTTTTTAGGGCTGTCAAAAAGAGCTGTGCAAATGCTGGTGATTCTGATAGCTGTAGCTCCGGTGACTCAGGGGATAGGTGAGTTAATTTCTCCTGCACACTCTTTAGGTTCAGTACAGCCTGTAGTGAGGCGTTCATCCAGCAGTTATTAAATACATTTGAAAACTTGCAGATGGATTTACACAGGCTGTTGGGTGAATTTGTGTCTGGTGTTAGGTAACGGTCAAAGAGTCCCCTAACAGTTTTAGTGACTAAAGTGCCCACAAGGAAACCTAAGCTTAAGATTGGCATGTTGCGTTTTACAAATTGCCTGGATCTGAAAATATAATGTTCTTTCTGTAAAATTGTAAAGATTAAAAAATGCTTTTAAAGTTCAACAACAGTTAGATCCGCCTACACACGTGGCCAGATTCTCCTTAAATGTATGTAGAGTGTGGAAAGCAACGACTCCTTTTAGTTCTGACATCACTATGGCCTTTGATGTCACATGATTCTGTTGCCATGGTTACAAACTCTTCTATCAAACATAGGGGGAAGGGCTATATACTGTTGTAGTAATCTGATTATTCACAGAATCAGAGTATTGTTTTCTTTTGTTTACCAGAGCGTATTTTGTCTTTACGGTGATGCAGTAAGGTATTTGTTCTCATCACATGATAAATCATTAGGCAATTTCATCGTTTATTATAAATGGGTTGAAATATGCAGTTGCACAGTGTTATAATCGTTTTTTATTGTTCGTATCTCATGTTCTATTATTTTGCAATGCAGTGTACTACAAAAGAAGACAACCGAAAAAAGGAGAATAAGAAGAGAGAAGACGCGCGGAGCGGGCGAAGGAGAACTGGACAAGTCACGGCAATGGCCGTATAAGGTGTGTGTCAACTAAAGATTCAAGACAGAGAAAAGGCGTTTATAATCTGTCTTCAACAAGCCTGGACAACTGTTCCCTGCTCCAGTCAATCACGGAAGAGTTTGTGAACAACCTGTGCTGCGAGTGAGTGAGTTGAACTGTGTTCTCAAAAAGACGAAACTGAGAAAACTAAGCTAAGCTAATGCTAAAGCTAGCTCCATCATGTCTCTGCTAATTACCTTGTTGAGAGTCACAAGGAAGCACACGGTGTTGCCACTGGAGATTCAGAACTCACCTGCGTGGGGAGACGACAGCGCAGTAGGATTCCATGTGCAGACGTCCTGTGTCCCTTGGATGGTAGGAACGAGGATTATTTCTTTCAGACTGGTATGACTGTTAAAATGGTTTCGAGTGGACATAAGCTCCAACGCAAGCTTGCATAAAACTTTAAGAGTGCACTCGGGTTGATTTTGTGGTTAAAACATCATTTCAAGGGTTTAAAATATTATTTCATATTTGAACTGGGTAAATTTGTGGTATATGTTTGTTTAATTAATACACAACCTTGAACTGTGTTTAGTGTGTGTGTTTATTGTTTCTACACTGTGAAACAGTCCCTGGAAAAATTGTCCATAAGTTACAAGTAACAAAGTACATGCATATTCTGAGTTATTTGAAGTAATATCATTTCTGGGAAATCTCCAATTGATGTTTTAAAGGTGAGGATCATACTGAACCCTAGACAAAGTTTCTTACATTGGAATGTCTCTTTTGCCAATTTGTTTTTTTGAGTTTAGAGGGGTATGCACTAAGTAGCTATTCCCTTACTATAACGAGCCGGGTGGCAAAAGGGTTACA